ACGCTGGGTGGGCAGGGCCTTCTTCCCAAGGCCCGGGGCTTTCAGGCGAGAGACCGAGGGGCCTGTCCTGCTGCGGGCGCTGTGCAGCCTGCTGCTCCAGAGGCCAGCCGCCCGGCGCTGGGCCTACCAGGGCCTCGTCTGGTGTGTGAGCGCCTGTGTGTTGTACTCTGAGCGTACACGCCGGCTTGACTGTTTTTTCTGACGTGTCTGTGTTGCTTCTCGGCTCGTTCCTGCCATCTTTCAGCGACTGTGGTAGAGTGTGCATCCCAGCCTTCCCTGTTGGGTATTTGTAAGGTTAAATTTTGAAAAAGCACCTTTCCAAATACAAAGTATACAGAGACCTGCAGATGGTGTACTTTGTAAAATTTAGGGAAATAGACGTGCAGAATTTTTCTTTCATTCCGTAGGCACACCGTTTTCTTTTAGTCTTTTCATGGAAAAAAGAAAAAACCCACACGATTTAAACTTGGAGTTGTAGGACACGGACTGCTGGGGAACGGGAAGAGGCGGCGCCTGTCCCCGGCGCTGCGACCAGCCCAGCAGCCTCGGCCGGGGGTGGCGGGGGCACGTTCCCCGACGTCCTTGGCCATCGATGACGGTGCGCCGGAGATGGACCAGGCTCCCTGGAGCCCTGGGCCGCCCTTCCAGATCTCTCTGCCCCGCCTTTTGCACGCGGCCCCTCTGTGCCCTGGAGGTGGCACACTCGGGACGTGGACTCGTCCCAGCGTGCCTCTGTGTTGCTCACAGGTATGGGGGAACCTTTCAGAATGTGTCTGTGAAGCTGCCTATCACACTCAACAAGTTTTTCCAGCCCACGGAGATGGCTTCTCAGGATTTCTTCCAGCGCTGGAAGCAGCTGAGCAAGTGAGTGGCGCCCTGCCCCCCCCCCCGGGTGGGTGGGGGGCCTCGGCTCTGGCTCAGCTGACGGCACTCGCGCTGGCCTCGGTTTCCCACAGTCCCCAGCAGGAAGTGCAGAATATCTTCAAGGCGAAGCATCCAATGGACACAGAGATCACCAAAGCCAAGGTAAAGGTCTTGCTGTGGACGTTCCCAGGGTCGGGACACGACCGGAGCCCTCAGAGGAGGCTGGCGGCTTCTCCCCTCGGAGAACCCTCCACCTCTGCTGGCGCCGATGCAAGGGGCTCCTGTTTCTCCTGGTTCTTCCCACAGATTATTGGCTTTGGTTCTGCACTCCTAGAGGAAGTCGATCCTAATCCTGCAAACTTTGTGGGGGCCGGTATCATACACACCAAAACCACCCAGATTGGATGCTTACTGCGTTTGGAGCCGAATCTGCAAGCCCAGGTCAAGCCCCTTGAGGGAACCGCTGAATACGCTCACTTTTTTTTAAACTGTGGCGTAACTCACACAGTGAGATGTGCAGATAGATCCCAGATGTGGTAGTTTGATGTGTTTCGACAGATGTGTACACCTGTGTAACCACCACCACCCGTTGGTGTGTGTAGCATTTCCATCGCCCCAGAAAGTTCTCTGGCACGCCCGCATCAGCCCCGGCCTCCCTAGGAGGCAGCGCCGTGTGGCCCAGCGTGGGACCCGCCTGGCCCCAGGCTCCAGCAGTCACCGTGTTGCTGCTGTGTCCACGGTGGGTCCTCGTGGAGCACGTGGCCCTCCTTTGTGGGGAGTTGCCACTCTGGTTTGCCCAGCCCTCCTGTCGATGGACATCAGGCTGCCCCTGTTTCAGGAGGCATTGAATACGGCTGCCGCAGACATCCGGACATGCCTTTGTGTGGGCATGTTTTCATTTCACGTGGGGAACACTCAGGGTGGGATTGCCGGCTCGTGGGGTCTGGGCACGGTCAGCATTGCTGTTTTGACCGCGATGCGGGTCTCAGACGCCCACCAGCTGCGCATGAAGTTTCCAGTTGGTCCACATGCACACGAGCACTTGCTGATGTCAAACTGTTTTATTTTTGCCACTGAGAGCATGTTCGTTGCTTGAGCCTGTCAACAGTGGCACCTCCAGGGAAGGGCTGAGCAGGGGGCCTTGAGCGGCCGCTGGGCGGGGCTGGCCCCGCAGTGTCTGCCCTAGCACCTCCACTGACCTGTGTCCTCTGTTTCAGATGTACCGACTCACGCTGCGGACGAGTAGAGAAACCGTCTCTCAGAGATTGTGTGAATTGCTTTCGGAACAGTTTTAATCAACAAGGACGGAGGGTCAGGCTCCTGTGTCTGCGTTTTTCTTCATCTCCACTATCGTCTTCGTTGCCATGCTGCAAGTCCATGCCCTGTCTAGTGTTGCGGCCCCGGGTGCCTCCCAGCCCTGCTTCTCTGGCCTCGTCCCTTGTGGGGATGGATGGGGAGCCTGTGTGCCGTTGAGGAAGAAAAGGCTCAGCCTGGACCCAGCCGTCCTGCCAAGTCAGGAGGAGAGGGCCGTGGATCCCGGGATCAACTCTTATAGAAATCAAGACAGTTCTGTGCCTAAGTCTACAAATTAAAGGGAATTTAGAAGTTTGAATGAAAATGGAAAGTTGTTTGAAATTTTATCAAGGTGCCAATGCTGTCTTATTGACAGTTCATCTCTGATGCTCTGAGAGGAGAGGCAGCGTTCTGTCTGCCATGGCAATAGATCTTGGCTACTTGGATGGGAGACGGGGAGGCAGCCCAAGGGCTGATGGGTATGTCCACACGGGGCCCAAGCGCCGACCTCGGCCAGGGTGAGAGCACAGTGCCTGGGGGCTTGCTGGGGCCGGGTTCTGAATCTAGAAGTTAGACAGGGTTGTGTTCTCAATGACGATCAACAAAAACACGTATCCTGGCTGGATTTAATTCTGTTTTCCTTTTTCCCAGCACTGTGTTCTTAAAGCGAGATTTGTAAAGCCATCTGACTGAGACCTTATGTGTGCAGTGCTGGGGGGTGGGGGATTCCTGGTGGCTCTGGAGGGGGTGTACCTAACCTCATGCATCTTTGGGTTTCAAATGAGTGCACTGTCACCACAGTGGCCCAGGACTGGTTCCCGATTGTGATGGCAGGGTTTGTTGTGGGCCAACAGAGAAGATTTCTGGAAGGTGAGCTGCTCTCTTCCCTGTGCAGTGACCTAAATGTGCCGGGGTGATGATTGCAGGCCAGGGTGCTGTGGACCTTGGCCTGTGCAGTGGGAGGAGGGAGGCCTGCGTGTGGTCAGGAAGCAGAGAGCAGAGTGGGGATGAGCTGGCACCTGTCCCCCCACCCCTCCGTGTGCGCCGCTCTCAGGTGCCGTCCCCTGCGCCTCGAGATGCCGAGGCGAGGCCTGTGTCCTGTTAGCGGCAGATGCGTCAGGTGGGCAGCAGGCACAGGCTGCAGGTTTGTCCTCGACAGACACGTCTGCCTTTGACACTGAGGGGCCCAGGAAGAGCTGGGGCCCTTGTTGGTTACCCTGGTTTTCCAGCAGGGACTGGGCTCCCTGCCGCGCGGTGGGGAGAACCACGTGGGGCAGGGGAACACAGTGGCCCTGTGCCGTGGTGCGGGTCGCGGGGAGGCAGCTTCTGGGAGTCGCCATGTGGGTACTGGGGCCCCCCACACTGCGGACGCCCCACTCAAGGTTCCCACACCCACCACCCTGTGCAGCCCCTGCAGTGCGCAGTGGTGGAGGTTGAGGCTTTGCGCATGTGGTGGCAGCGTGGCCGCTGGTGGCACTGCTGTGCACTGCAGATGGGTGGTGTGGCCGTCGTGCTTTTGTTCAAGGTGCGGGACGGTACACGGTTCTTGGGCTCCAGTGTTTGGACTGCCAGCCCGGGGCTGGTTTCTTATGTCAGCCGACGCCCTCCCTCCACCCACCATTCTGGGTGAGCGTCCATCAGCAAAGAAGAACAAATGCTGGGGTGGCGATTGGAACGTGTGTGGTCTTTGGAGGGAAAGGCGCCCGGCATACGGCTCAAGGTCCCGTCCCGTGGGGCTGCATGGGGCGCTGAGAACCGATGACGCGGGCCCGTCGTCCGGAACCTGTTCCCCAGTCACGGGGGTGGAAGCTGAGGTGTGTCGAGGTGACGTGCCTTTTGCTCTGCACTTGGGTTCAGGACGTGGGCTGAGCCTGTGGGACTCATGCTGGTGGGGCCTGCGGCCTGGCCTTGGCTCCCCCCACTCCGTGGTGCGCGTCGGGGGCCTGCCTTCTGGGGGCCTGCGTCTAGGGGACAAGTGGGCCCAGGGGTTCCTTCTTGGGGGGTGAGCCTGCCGAGCTCAGGCGGGGTGATCCCAGCCACAGGCCGGGTACAGGGTCCCATGGGACGGAGGGCCTCACAGGAGAGTAGTCCTGAGCTGGGAAGGGGGAGAGGGCCTGCAGGGGAGGGGAGGGAGGGGAGGGAGGGGAGGGGAGGCTGGGGGCCCACAGTGGCACCCCTTCTTGGCCCGTACTTGTGCGGGTCCGACTCCGTGAGCTGGACGCGGGTCTGGGGACTCACAAATGCCCGAGGGGCGCGGGAGATGGCAGGAGCAGAGCTCAGGAGCCTTTGTGCCTTGACAAGTGCCAGTTTATTTGTTGTCTGTTCATGGTGGGCTCATGGTGCACAGTGCCTGGTGCCCCCTCCCCAGGGTGAGCTTTGCTGGTGGGCAGGCGGTGACGCTTGCCTCTCCCTTCCCTTCCCCGACTGCAGGGCCCCTCTCCTCGCTGTGACCCGAGCCTCTCCCCCACCCTTCTCTGCTTGGGCGGCCCCTGTCTCCCCAGGAATCCCCTCTGCAGCAGCCTTCCTCACTCCTGCCACCGGGGGTGGGGTTCTGGTCCCAGCAGGACTGGGAGGCTGCCTTCGAAGGCCGGGAGGCTGTGTGGCTGGGCGGTGGGCAGTGCCCTGTGCAATCCCGAGGCTGGCAGCCCCAGTGCAGCCTGCTGGGTTTAGGGTCTGCAGGACCCCCGCCTGCAGCCCCTTTCTCTTCAGATGCCCGGGTGAGCTGCATCTGAGGGCTCTTTGAGGCCATGCCCTGTGCCTAGGAAAGGGGCTGCTGGGCACAGTGGGTCGGGGTGAGCGGGTGCCGGCGGCGCGGCTCGGTCCTCACTCCCGGGGCCAGGTCTCTAGTCTCCGCAGCGCTGGGAGCGGCACGTGCATCTGCTGAATAGCTGCAGCGTGAGCGTCAGCTGCCGCCCCCTCACCCTGGGGTCCGGGCAGGGCAGCACGAGCTGCTTCTCGTGGGAGCTGAGGGGGCGGCAGCAGCTACAGTTGGTGTCCACTCGCATGGTGTCAGTGTTGAAGCTGCGGAGGAGCGGTGGCGGGGAGCGCAGGTCAGGCCGGCGGCCTCGGGAGCGCTCCTGCCCCTCCCCGGTCGCTCGGAGAGGTGGACCAGGGTCCCAGGCTGCGCCTTCGCGTCGGGGCTGGCCTTGCATCACTGACCTCCCCGGCTCCCGGCAGGTGTGGTGGAGGTGGGTGCGGGCCGGGGCCACCCGATGGGGCAGCATGCTGCCTGGGCCGGGACCTCTCGGGGGATCTTCCCCAGCTCCCACTGGGAGCGCCTCTGTCGAGCAGGGCGGGTTCCAAGTCCGGGACCTGGACAAGGGCCGCACGGGGCCAACAGCTCACCTGGCCGAGGAGGCGCAGACGCCCTCACAGCGGGTCACCGTCACGTTGGCCGTGCACCCCTGGTAAGTGATCTCTTCCTCAAACTCCCTCACGCTGCAGGTCCCTGGGAGCCGAGAGGCAGGCGTCAGATGGTGGCCCTGTGGTGGGGCTGGAGGACAGGTGTGGCCTCTGGGGGCTCCGCACCTGGCCCTCTCAAGGGCAGGAACTGACATACATGGCTCTGGGCCTCGGGTTTTTAAACCCCTTTTCCTGTGGCACGGTGGATAGTGCCGGCGCCACCAAGGGAAGGCTGCCAGCTGCCTGACAGCTTAGATGATCTGGGTGCGGCCGTGTGGGCGCCGCCAGCACGTTAGTGCCCACGGTGGCGTCTTCCCTGGGCCCCCACCCTGCACTTGAGCCCCTGCCCCAGGCCATCTCCCCTTGTCCGAGCCCCACTGAGCTCAGACCTCATGGCTTTGCATGGGAACAAAGCCTGATAGCAAGTCTCTCACTGTGTGTTTTCCTCCTGAAAGTTGGCTACACTGGGAGTCCCCCAGGGTCAAGGGTTTTCTCAGAGGACGAGGCAGATTCCCAGCACTGGCCCCAGCCTCCCTCTCCACCTCCCCTCCTGGCCTGACGCCAACCTGTGGGCACAGGTGTTTCTGGTCTGCTGGGCTCAGTACCTGCGGTAGGGATGGGGTAGGATGTCAGCATCCCCTGAGGGCACGTTTGGCATCACAAGAGCTCCCTGCAGGGCTGTGGGCCTGGCTGTGAGCTCCGTCCTGCATCTGTCCCAGTGGACAGACTGTAGCGGGTGCCCTGACAGCTGGCAGAGCATTGCTGCCGTTAGAAACTGCCAGTGGGACTTGAGTGAGAAAGCAAAGCCTGCACAGTCTCTCCTGCCTTCCCACCTGCCCCCTTCCAAGGCCTCCCTGTGGCCTCGAGCCTGCCCTGCTTTTCCACTGGAGGTGGGACAAGAGGCCTGGCGGCCACGGGGGTCTTCCCTGTGGCTCCCACTGCCCCCAGCCCTCCTCCCCTCCTGCTCTCCTGCTCCCTCGCCCCACGCCCTGGGTCGCCTCTTCCTGGGCAGTCTCCACCCAGTCCTTGTCCCACAAGAGAAAACACTTTTTTATTCAATACCGTCCTGCAGTGGTGGACAGTCCTGCTGGGGGAAGGCTGGGGGTGTGAGAGGGGAGCCCGCTCCAGGGGACGGGTGCCGTGCAGGGGAGGGGGTGTCCTTGGAGGACAGGGTGGGCTTAGGCAGGCCTGGGGCAGGAAGGTAGAGCAGAGCCGGAGGCACCTGCAGCACTGAGACCTGGGTGGGTGCCAACCCTGGAGTGCAGGCGCCCCGGCCGCTAGTCCCAGCTCGGGCCCCGACGATCACCTGGGGTGAGGCGCGTGCCTGCTTTCTGCAACCGGGGGGAGGGTTGCGAGAGTTGAAACTCAAGGTCCTTCTGAGCTCTGCAGAGGGTTGCCGTGGAAGGCTGCTGAGGGGGGTCACCTCAAAGGGAGGCCAGGACTGCAGTAGGGACGTGGAGGGGTGGGAGGCTGAGGGAGGCAGGTGCAGGACAGTCAGGCCCTGAGGTGGGGAAGGGGGCCACCTGGGAGAGGCCAGGTGCCCATTTAGGCCAGACTGGAATTCACTGGAGCTGTGCCCTGAGAAGAGGGGAGAAAGGATCTGGGACCTGGCCAGGAAAGGGTGAGGAGAGACCCCGAGAACATGTAAGCAACATACAGCAGAGGACAGGCTGGAGAGGGGGTTGGGGGAGATGTGACTTGGCCACTGCCTGCTGGTGGGGGCCCTGTCCTTCTAGACACCCCCAGGACACAGCTGAAGCACCAAAGCTCAGAGGCCTGGAATGGCACTCCAGGGCTGGTCAGAGGCCAAGCTGCGGCTCCCCCAGGCTGTGCCCGACCCCGAGTCTGCTCAGTGCCCTGCACTGCCTGGCCATCCCCAGGCAAGGGAAGTGAAGGCTTTAGGGGGAGGAAAGGAGACACACCTGCTGCAAGGGCTGGGCCAGCCTCTGTGGGTGTGTGCAGGCCATGATGGGGTGCAGCAGAGGTGGGAGCAGAGGCCGAGAGGCAGTGCCCATAGGGTCATCAGGAAATGTGAGGGGACAAGAAAAGGCGGAGATCCCATGGGAGTGACCCAGAGTATTGTCCAGAGTGGAGAGACAAGACTGAGAAGAAGCGTGCACCACAGGTCATGAGGTGGCTGCAGAGATGTCACTCACCTGGAGAGCTGGGTAGAGATGTGACGAGAGAGGAGATGGATTGGCCCCTGGTGGAAGAGGACCCGGCAGTGGGAAAGGAGGAGCTTCCATGCGCAGTGATGGAGCCGGTCAGGAATACGCTGGCCGGCAGCCCGGTGGTACTTGGCTGTCTGGTGGTGAGGTTGGTGGCTGGGGAATTTGGGATGGCTGTCACTCCCAGGGTAGAAGACAGGAGGCCCTGCGTGGGGGCTCGGGTCGTGAGAGAGGTGAACTTTGAGGTAGTGGACCGAGAGGACAGAGCTGAGGAGGTGGGCTTGCTGGCTGTGGTCTGGGATGTAGACAGGACCATGGTACTGGGAGTGGGGAGAGGGGACAGCGTGGGAGAGGATGGGGGTGAGAGGGAGGGCCTGACGGACACGATGGTGGCTGGGGAAAAGCGGCTGGCAGACAGGGGGGCTGTATGTGATATGGTCATGGGTGCAGAGGGGGAAGGGCTGTGCGGAGCTGAACTAGCGGTTGGGATGCTCTGTGAAGTGGAAACTGCCGAAGGTGATGGGGAATATGATATAAAAGGAGGAGTGGTGTGTGAGGACACGTGAGAAGGAAGAGAGGAAGTAGTGGGCAGGGAGGAGAGAGTGGAGGTGCTGGATGAAGACGAGGGGTAATGTGGAAGGTTCGACACAGAAACAGAAGTGGTGAAAGGACTTTGGCTTGGGTTTAGAGGAGATGGAGAAGATAATGTAGAGCTAAAGCTAGAGCTTTGTGGTAGTACTGTGCTGACTGAGTTCTGGGCTTGGGTGGTACCTGTTGTGGTTGTTGTCAGTGGCGGGGCTGTGGATGTGGTGGTTCCTGTTGTGGTTTTTGTCAGTGGTGGGGTTCTGGGTGTGGTGGTTCCTGTTGTGGTTTTTGTCAGTGGCGGGGCTGTGGGTGTGATGGTACCTGTTGTGGTCGTTGTCAGTGGTGGGGCTGTGGGTGTGGTGGTCCCTGTTGTGGTCTTTGTCAGTGGCGGGGCTGTGGGTGTGGTGGTCCCTGTTGTGGTCTTTGTCAGTGGCGGGCCTGTGGGTGTGGTGGTCCCTCTTGTGGTCTTTGTCAGTGGTGGGGTTGTGGGTGTGGTGGTCCCTGT